TTCTGTCATAGACGTTAGACCAAAGTTATGTGATGAAGTTCTGAGGCTCAGAAATGATGGAAACAGTCCATTAAGGTGATCTATCTGGACCCTCCTCTGTGGACTTGAAGGACCTGGACCTCTGGAACATTCACAGTCTGAAGGTAGAACTCTGGTCAGTAGCTAGAGGTTCTGCAGAACCAGAACCAGGTGTTCTGAGGAGGGTTGACTGATTGTGTATTGATTGTGTATTGATCCAGCCCCTGGAGTACCCGGTCGGTCCAAAGTCCAACCCTCTGCCATTCCTTCGGAACCCCGACATCCTGGTGGGAGAGAATGACCTGACGGCTCTGAGCTACCTCCATGAACCTGCTGTTCTTCACAACCTGCGGGTCCGGTTCCTGGAGTCCAACCACATCTACACGTACTGCGGTGGGTGTTCTGCTGCCTGTAGCTCAGCCCACTGATTCCTAAACATCTGCTTCATCTGCTGGTGAAGCACCTTCCTGTTCACTCACTCCCACTGATCAGCCTTTTGTTCTTCATGTATTTGTCAGTTTTATGGATTTTTGTTGTTGTTTATTGTTTCTTCCTCCTCATTTACTGTATTTATAATTTATGTTGTTTACATTGTAGTCTATTTTTCTATCATTGAATTGTAGTTTGACCTTCCTCTCTTCAGGCATTTGGTTTTTTGTCAGTTGATGAATCTTCTTTACCTTCTTTTCTATTCACCTGAGTTGCATTTTGTTTATTGGTGATATTATTTCTTTGTGTTTTGTTTATTATTTGTTTGAGCCTGTGATTTACTTCCCTTGCTGTCGTCTTGTCTTTCCTCGTCATGTGTTTTTACCTTCTCGTGTACGTGTTTGTATTTTCTGTTACATTAACTTCTTGATTGTCACATATTTCTTGTTTTGTCTTTATTTTATCTTATTGTTTTACCCGTGATGTATTCTTCTTTGAACCTTTTTTAGGTTTTATTTTTGATGTATTTTGCATTTTATTGATCTATTGTTGAGTGTTTCTTCTTCACAGGGATCTCGTTCTCGTATTCACTCGTTTTCTCATCATGTGTTTCACTGTTTGTCCTCCTGCTCGGCTCTGATTTTGTTCACAATGATGCCGTTTGTTCTCAGGAATCGTGCTGGTCGCCATCAACCCGTACGAGCAGCTGCAGATCTACGGCGAGGAGGTGATCAACGCCTACAGCGGCCAGAACATGGGCGACATGGACCCGCACATCTTCGCTGTGGCCGAGGAGGCGTACAAGCAGATGGCCAGGTAGAGCCGATCGATCGGCCGCATGAGTGATCACAGCAGAGACGCACTGGGCTGAACAGGAAGCTGCTGCTTTTATTGTGACATCCTCTGATCACATGTTCACTGGAGCAGTCACACACAGGAAGTTCATCTGTCTTAGTTTGAGTCCTTCAGCTGGTGACGATCAGAGCAGACCGACTAAACAATAGAAATGTGTTGAAGTGTGAAGATGTTTTAACATGACGAGAAAACGTTCAGAGCGAAATGCTGCCGGAAAGAAAGATTTCCTCGTTAGAACATAAAGTCTGAATATTCTCAGAAGAAACTCAAATCACGAATAAATAAAAGTGCTGAAGGCCTGAAAGTCGCTGAAGATGAAAGAACTTTAAGAACTGGATCAGTTAGTCGTTGGTGTACATTTCCAAATGAAACCTTTTGTTCTCGTATCGACTGTTTCTGTCAAAATATTCCAAAAAACTCAGTTTCTGTGTTCAGCTGCTGAATCATGAAACTTGTTCTGCAGAGACGAGAGGAACCAGTCCATCATCGTGAGCGGAGAGTCGGGAGCAGGAAAGACGGTTTCTGCCAAATACGCCATGAGGTTCTTCGCCACGGTGGGCGGGTCGGCCAACGACACCAACGTGGAGGAGAAGGTTCTGGCCTCCAGTCCCATCATGGAGGTGAGGTCCAGATGTTTCATCCAGACCAGCTCTTCCTCACTCACAGGAACAGGAGAAGCTCTCAATGAAAGAGTTCCTGTGTTGACACTGAGCTGAAGTCATCCTGCTGCTGTCAGCCTGACGTCCTCACACAAGCTGCTGAAGATAATCTGCTCATGAACTCTTTAAATGGTGCTGCTGTAAGAAAACAAAAACAGTTTTATTCATCCCAAACCAACCACCTGATGATTCCAGATGTTTATTAGCTGCTAATAATTCTCAGTTCGTTTGAATCATTTCTTAGCTTCTGAATTAATCTGCATTTTGATAATTGATTAATCGGTTTGAGTAATTTAATAAAACAGTCTAAACTCTGTGACTTCAGCTTCTTCAGTGAACATGTTCTGGTTTCTTTCCTCCTCTATCACTGAACTGAACATCTCTGGACGAAAGCAGATGTTTGAGGAATCTCTGATCCACCAAACAGCTGATCGATTCATGCAGAAAACAATCCGCAGTGAAAATACTCTTCAGCCTCAGCTGACTGCAGACTTTAGTTGGGTTCATGACACACTTGTTTCCATGGAGACCAGTTGGCATCCCCCCAGCAGGGGGTGCCGCTGAACAGGGAGGTCTCACTCTGAATTAAACGGGTCTTTTTCCCATCAGGCCATCGGAAACGCAAAAACGACTCGGAACGACAACAGCAGCCGCTTTGGGAAGTACATCCAGATTGGGTTCAGCCGACATTATCACATCATCGGCGCCAACATGAGGACGTACCTGCTGGAGAAGTCTCGCGTCGTGTTCCAGGTGAGTCCCACCTGATCAGGCTCTCAGATTAACATTGTGACTGTTCTGAGTAAAGAGTTCTGCTGTCTGTGTTTCAGGCTGAGGACGAGAGGAACTATCACATCTTCTACCAGCTGTGTGCTTCAGCCAGTTTACCAGAGTTCAAGGACCTCAGCCTCAGTAAGTCTGGTTCTGCCTCGGTACCAACCAGTAGTCGTTAGCCACGAACAACCGCTAGCCATTAGCCACCAACAGCCAGCTGCTTGCCATTAATTCAATTCAATTCAATTCAATTTTATTTGTATAGCGCATATTTACAACAACAGTCATCTCATAGCGCTTCATTAGCCATTAGCTACCAACAACCATTAGCCGTTAGCATCAGCAGCCATTAGCCACCAACACCATTATCCATTAGCCACCAACAACCATTAGCCATTGGCAACCAACAACCATTAGCCATTAGCATCAATTCAATTCAGCTTTATTTGTATAGCGCAGTTTACAACATCTTATCACACAGCACCAGTGACCATTAGCCATTAGCAACCATCAACCATTAGCCACCAACAACCATTAGTCATTAGCCACCAACAATTGCTAAGCATTAGCCACCAGCAGCCAGCCATTAGCCACCAACCACCATTAGTCACCAACAACTGTTAGCCATTAGCCACCAACAACCATTAGCTGTTAGCATAGCAGCCATTAGTCACCAACACCATTAGCCAACAACATCTATTAGCCATTTGCAACCAATAGCCATTAGTCGTTAGCATCAGCAGCCATTAGCCACCAATAACCATTAGCCATTAGCAACCATCAACCATTAGCCACCAACAACCATTAGTTGTTAGCAACCATCAATTGCTATCCATTAGCCACCAACAGCCAGCCTTTAGCCATTAGCCACCAACCACCATTAACCACGAATAACCATTAGCCATTTGCCACCAGCGGCTAACAGCCAGCTGTTAGCCACTACCCACCAACAACCATTAGCCATTAGCCACAAACAACCACTAGTCGTTAGCATCAGCAGCCATTAGCCAGCAATACCATAAGCCATTAGCCACCAACAAACATTAGCCACCAACAACCATTTGCCGTTAGCACCAACATCCATTAGCCAGTAGCAACCAACAACCATTAGCCACCAACAACTGTTAGCCAATAGCCACCAATAACCAGTAGTCGTTAGCAACCATCAACAATTAGCCTCCAACAACCATATGTCATTAGCCACCAACAATTGCTATCCATTAGCCACCAATAACCATTAGTCATTAGCAACCATCAACTATTAGCCACCAACCACCATTAACCATGAATAACCATTAGCCATTAGCCACCAGCGGCTAACAGCCAGCCGTTAGCTATTACCCACCAACAACCATTAGCCATTAGCTACCAACAGTCATTAGCTGTTAGCATCAGCAGCCATTAGGCAGCAACAACATAAGCCATTAGCCACCAACAACCATTAGCCGTTAGCCACCAACATCCGTTAGCCATTAGCAACCAAAAACCATTAGCCACCAACAACTGTTTGTCAGTAGCAACCATTAGCCACCAACAACCATTAGTCATTAGCCACCAACAATTGCTATCCATTAGCAGTCAACAACCATTAGTCATTAGCCACCAACGATTGCTAGCCATTAGCCACCAATAACAATTACTCATTAGCAACCATCAACCATTAGCTACCAACAACCATTAGTCGTTAGCCACCAACAATTGCTATCCATTAGCCACCAACAGCCAGCCGTTAGCCATTAACCACCAACAACCATTAACCACGAACAACCGTTAGCCATTACCCACCAATAGCTAACCGCCAGCCGTTAGCCATTAGCCACCAACAACCATTAGCCATTAGCTACCAACAACCATTTGCCATTAGCCACCAACAACTGTTAGCCACTAGCTTGTCCAGTAAACAAGCTGCTGACTTTTATATATATATATATATATTTATATGTATATATATATATTGGGCTTTTCGCCTTTATTTAGAGCAGTAGAGATAGACAGGAAAGGGGGGAGAGGAATGGGGAGAAATCTGCAGCAAAGGTTCGTGAGCGAGAGTCGAACCCACTATAAGCTAACTATAGCTAACTACAGCTAACTATAGCCCCTGTTCATGGGGCGCCCACTGACTCTTTCTAACTCTTTAAAAACACAATAAAATCTTTAAGTCAGCTCTGATCTGACCAGGAGCTGGTAGAAGCCACATGTGATTGCATGTGTCTGAGCAGTAGAGCATCATGGGAAGTTTCTGATACAGGTGAAGCCATGTTGGTCCACGTATTTAACCAGCAGCTTCCAAGTGAGCCGACCAAAAGCTGCTGCAGAGGAAATGGGAGAACTCATGGACTCGAAAGGATCCGAACGCAGCATACAACCGGAGGGACGCACCCTGATGGTAATAAACCTGAAACGTTCCGTTTGTAGCTGTTGACCATCTGCTGTCCTCCTCAGCCAGCGCAGAAGATTTCACCTACACGTCTTTAGGAGAGAACATCTTCATTGAGGGCGTGAACGACGCCGAGGACTTCAAGAAGACCAGAGAAGCTTTTACGCTACTCGGTGAGAAACGAAGCGGGATGACAACACTGGACTGCTCAGAGGTTCTGTTCACACTTGGTCTGATGTTTGGAACCCAAACTTAGTTCTAATGATACGTATTCTGACCTGAAGTTTTCTATTTTCATCTGCAAAGTTCTCACTGCTCACACTTCAGTCCGTTATGAAAAAGAGAACGGACATTTTAACCGTCGGCTGGGTTTCAGGTTCAGACGGTTGAACGGTCTGTTGTCTTCAGGGTGTGACACGTCTGTCTGTCTGTCTGAGCAGGTATAAAGGACAGCAGTCAGAGCAGCATCTTTAAAGTCATCGCCTCCATCCTCCATCTGGGGAACGTTGAGATCTGCTCTGAGAGGGACGGAGAGTCCTGCCACATCTCGGTGCGTTGCAGTGACGGTTGCAGCTGAAGGTGCATCCTCCTGGGATCTGACGTGCTGTTTGTGTTGCAGAGGAACGACCCTCACCTGCAGAGCTTCTGCCGGCTGCTGGGCGTGGAGCTGCAGCAGATGGAGCACTGGCTCTGCCACCGCAAGCTGTCCACCACCGCCGAGACTTACGTGAAGAACATGTCCAGCCGGCAGGCCGCCAACGCCCGCGACGCGCTCGCCAAGCACATCTACGCTCGCATGTTCGACTGGATCGTGGAGCACATCAACATGGCGCTGCAGACGTCCTCCAAGCAGCACTCCTTCATCGGAGTCCTGGACATCTACGGGTACCAACACACGCCTCCTTCACCGGGTTCTTCAAATGGCAGTTTGTTTTACAGATGTCCTGGTCGGGTGTTGTTCTGGCCCCGATCCGAGTCATTTAATCCACATTATCCGCTGATGCTACATAATACACACCTCATGTAGTTTGACCAGCTGTAGTAGCTGGTTGTTCCACCAGGTGGAGCCTCAGACTACAGTCATGGTGGCAGCAGAGAGCATTGTGGGAGTTTAGCAGCAGCGGGACCACGACAGAGACTCTGAGGAGGTTCATGAAACACACATTAAATCCAGTTCAGTCAGGATCAAGCGTTCCTGCGTCTGGAGCTGCGTCAGCGAGACGAGCCTGAGTTCTTGTTGACGTGTCAGCTGTTGGTACCGATGTGTGAACGTGGCTGTAGGCAGCAGACTAACTCGAGCTTCCTGTTGGTACCGAGCCGATCTGAGCTCAGAACATCCTCACTTGTTGTGCTCAGTGTGATGAGACAGCGGTGTGTGTGAATGTGTGCAGGTTTGAGACGTTCGAGGTGAACAGCTTCGAGCAGTTCTGCATCAACTACGCCAACGAGAAGCTGCAGCAGCAGTTCAACTCGGTGAGTCCTCAGAAACCGTCCACTTCCTGCCTGAGCTGCTGTGTGGAGATGATGTGAACATGCTGCTGTTCTCCTCCTCAGCATGTGTTCAAGCTGGAGCAGGAGGAGTACATGAAGGAGCAGATCCCCTGGACTCTGATCGACTTCTACGACAACCAGCCCTGCATCGACCTGATCGAGGCTCGACTCGGCATCCTGGACCTGCTGGACGAAGAGTGTAAAGTAAGAATCACCGACTTGGTTTTGAGTGTCAAACCGGAGGAGCTTCATTCATAATCATAACTGATCAGGTTTATTCAGCTCAGAGACGCTGAGCACTGCCAGGTATCCATCCGGTGGTGGTATCTCCGGCTGTAGCCCCAGCTGCCCTGGGGGGGGGCAGATTGACAGAGGCCTGGCCGCCATCCTGCCCTCCGACCACCACCTCATACGCATCCACACCAGGCAGGTGGAGAGGCGTCCAGTCCAACGACACGACGACCAGGACACTGGCTGCAGGGCGGAATCGAGCCGCCGACCTTCCTTTGACCGACCCGCTGTACCACCTGAGCCACAGCCGCCCCAAAGCTACAGGCGGTTCTGCTCGTAGTAGTTTGATCAAGTTGAACCAAAGTTTTAGGATTCAGAACACCTACAGGACCGTTTGAATGTCAGCACTGCAGAATTCACCGTGAAGCAAAACATTTGGTCTGCAGTGACAGTCACGGTGCTGGATCCTGCCTGTAGGTGGTCCTGGTAGGTTCTGGAGGTACCATGATCCTTTCATTGTCTAGAACTGGTTCTGACCAACCACCGATTGTTTCTGTGACTCTATGTCATAGACACTAGACTGTTCACAGTGTGAGACATCCCATAATACTGACGCTACCAGCTGCTGGCATCCACTCCAAGGGTCTCAGTCTGAAGCTCAGATCTTCTTCTTGTTGCAGACGTGGAGCAGCACGGCACCATACATGTGTTCTTCTGAATTAAAGTTATTGTTGTGTTACAGGTTCCGAAGGGAACGGATCAGAACTGGGCCCAGAAGCTCTACAAGCAGCACTCCAGCAGCGCCCACTTCCAGAAACCTCGAATGTCCAACACGTCCTTCATCATCATCCACTTCGCCGACAAGGTGAGCAGCTGAAGATGAGCCCAGCTGCTGAAACGTTGCCGTCGGGTTTAAAACACAGTAAATCAGTCAAACCTCTCTGGACTGAGCCGGTACAGGTTCCTCCAGGAACCTCCACACAGGCAGGGTTCATCTGATGAGCTCCTTAGGGTTCTCCCAGTTCTAACAGCACTCTCCAGTAGAACCTGAGTGTTCAGATAAGCTGAAGGATGGATCCAGATGTTGTTGCTTCTCAGACGTTTCTGTGGAGGAGCTTCTTCACTCAGACTGCAGAGAGCATTGTGGGAGTTTAGCCGCGACGGCGCCATGACAGCGACTTCCTCATGTCCTCCGACCAGAGTGACACAGGACGGATCTGGTGCTGGTGCTGGTGCTGGTGCTGGTCAGACACTGATCCAGGGAATGCTCATCGTTAGACAGATGTGGGGCTGCAGCGACCGGAGAACAGGTGTTAGCATGTTGAGGCGCTACAGCAACCAGAGCTGTGGGGTTCCTCAGGGCTCAGTACTGCTCAGGTTCTGACTGAATCCTGTTAGCAGACGGTTCTGATTTATGTTGCTGCTGCAGTCGTTCAGAACAACTCAGATTTAATTTCAACAAACTGACTCTGAGTGAGACTAAAACCAGGACCTCTGCTCACAGGTGGAGTACCAGTGTGAAGGCTTTCTGGAAAAGAACCGAGACACCGTCTACGAGGAGCAGATCAACATCCTGAAGGCCAGCCAGGTACCCACCACAGCCACAACCGGAACCAGAACCCTTTAAATCTGAGTTTACCACCAGTGAGCTTCCTGCAGCTTTAGCTTCACCTCGTCTGCTGTCAGACGTCTTGTTTTCATGCCTTTGTTGGTTCGTAACCACTGATAAAAGATCCAGAGTCTCGGGGCGCCGCTACAGCTCACCTGGTGGAGCTGGCGTCCCATGTGCAGGGCTCCAGTCCCCATGTGGAGGTCGTGGGTTCGAGTCCTGTCCCACATGTCCTCCCCCCATCCTGTCTGTCTCTGACTACACTATCCAATAAAGGCACAAAGGCCTAAAAAATAACTTAAAAAAAAAAAAAAAAGATCTAGAGTCTTGGAGAACCTGCAGGTTCTGATGTTCTGAAGCTGCTGCATTTGTTCTGCTGATACTTTCTGTCGGTATGAGATTCAAGATTCAAGATTCAAGAGTTTTATTGTCATATGCACAGCAAAACAGGTAGTTGTACTACACAATGAAATTCTTACTCTGTTCAATCCCCCGAAAAAGACGATACATTAAAGATAAATAAAACAAGCCAATAAGAACAGAATAAACAATTAAAAAACAACAATAAAGTGTTTCAGTGTTATGTGTATGGACTCTGTCCCCTCAGTTCCAGCTCGTCGCAGACCTGTTCCACGAGAAAGACGACGTGTCCTCGTCCAAGTCATCAAGAGTGAACGTCCGATCGGCAAAGTCGGTTCCCAAAGTTCCCAACAAGGAGCACAGGAAGACAGTGGGACACCAGGTGGGTCTCTGTTCCCTCGGCAGAACTCTGAGGAACACTGCTGGGTCTAATGAGGTTCTGTGCTCTTCAGTTCCGCAGCTCTCTTCATCTGCTCATGGAGACTCTGAACGCAACGACGCCTCACTACGTCCGCTGCATCAAACCCAACGACGACAAGGAGGCCTTCTCGTGAGTTCCTCTGACAGACCGGCTTCCTCTCAGCAGGAGCACATTCAGTTTCTATTCAGACGTTCCATCAGATTAACTCCAAGCCCAAAACCAGATCCAGAGCAGGTCTAAGGGGTCGCTCAAAGCCCCTAACGCTGCAGAACTTTCAGACTTATGATGTATAAACAGGCAAGTTTGTCCTGAACAGACAAATTAACAGAAGAGGATGTTTGGACCGAACCTTTCACACCAGGTATAGATGCATGTAGTCTGTTGAACAACCACATCGGGCTGTGGGACAGACCGGAGTCCTTCTGAAACCTTGTAAATGGTTTAATGGCTGCGTCACACCGACAGAAGACATGTGGGAGTCGTCTCCTCCCTCGTGGTCGTTGTGTGTCAGAGCTGCAGGACTTTGACTGTTGGAGGTTATTTCAGTCTCAGAATGTGTTTGCGAGGTTCAGCACAGACTCGCCCTGTTCAGGTTTAAATGAAATGATCCGGTCACATGTGAGCAGCTCAGCTGACGGCTTCATTCTGCAGCCGGCTGCGTCCTGATGAGCAGCAGGAAGATCAGGTAGGAGCACAGCTTTCTGTTCATGCCTCATGAACACAGTGCAGCAGCAGTAGGTCCTCAGGTCCAGACAGGTGCTCAGTGTGTTTGTCACAGTTCAGTTCTCTCGTGGTTCTCTTGTGGTTCTCTTGTGGTTCTGGGGCAGAAGCTGTTTTCAGCCTGTTTGTCTGTGGTTTGATGGACTTGAAGCTTCCAACTGAGGCTAACCCTGTCCAGGACGGGATGGGTCCTTCAGAATGTTGCTGCTCTACTGAGACGTCGAGAGCTGAACAGTGAACAGCTGATGACCCTCTAAGGTACAGGTGTCAAACTCAGGCCCGTGGGCCACATTTGGCCACGGTGTGATTGTATTTGGCCCGCGAGATAATATCACATCTGTCAGAGCACGCACTGCTAACGCTACACAGAATGCTCTGCTAGCGCGCTGGCGTGTCGACTGTTGTCTGATCAGCAGCTCTGAGCTCAGAACCGAGCTGAGCTGATGTATCTGTGATTTCTAATGTTCATAACATTCAGCTTTGCTTGTTCCAGAGTCAAGGTTTAAACAGAACTCAAGTTTGTTTCCACATGAAAAGATTTCTTATTATTGTTATTGTTATTGTTATTGTTATTGTTATTGTTATTGTTGTCGTCATCATCATTATTATTATTATTATTTTATTGTGTTGGTTGTTGTTGTTGTTGTTGTTGTCGTCGTCATATATTCTGGACATAAAGCAAAACAGACACAATCGTACTACATTTTTCAGTCAGCATCCCGTCTGGCCCGCGGCTGAGTCCCAGCTCTTCATGTCGGCCCGCTGTGTTCTGAGTTCTGCTCAGAGGCTGGTGGTGACTCTCTCCACACGGTCCCTGCTGATCATTAGTGGATCAGTCTGCTTGACTTCTTTGGTTTTGTGGAGTTTAGAACCAGATGGTTCTCTGAACGTCAGTCTTTGGACTTCGTCTGTGGAGGACTGGTCTCCTCCAAGCACAGTGGTGTTGAACTTGCTGATGGTGCTGGAGGTCTGGATGTAGTCGTATGGACAGCGCTGACGGTGGAGCAGAGCTGGTGTCCTGTTCTGACGCTCTGCTTGGTTAGAAGGTCTTTGATCCAGCAGCAGGAGGGCTGTGAAGGTCCCTCCGTCTAGAGACCAGTCCGCTGATCACAGTGTTGAAGGTGGAGCTAAAATCTATGGAAGCTTCCTCACACAGCTCCCCTGGTGGTCGGTAGGAGTCGGTGCAGTGTGAAGAGCAGCATCCTCTGTAGACCGGTTGGCTGTGGAGGTCAGCTGGTGGATGGAGGTGGTGGAGATGTTCTACAGAACCAGAACATGGACGCGTTTCTTAATAACGGAGTGACGGTGGTCGCTCAGCTGCTGATGACAGTCTTCCGTCGGTTTACGTCTACTTTGGATCCACAGCAGGTCGGTGTTAACGTGATTCTGTCGCTGCAGGTTCGATTCCCGCAGAGCTGTGCAGCAGCTGAGGGCCTGCGGAGTCCTGGAGACGATCCGGATCAGCGCCGCCGGGTACCCGTCCAGGTGAGTCTGTTCGTTACCTGTCAGCAGCAGAACATTCTCAGTTTGACTCCTCAGAACTCATGTTGGTCAGCAGAGACGTGAACAGTCGCAGAGATGTTTGCTGCTGTGGAGGATCTGATGCTAGGAACACAAAGAGCTCATCTTCTTCTTGTTTGTTTTGTTGTTACCTTCTCTGCACCGCGTCGTTGAGTGTCTTGAAAAACGCAATGAAGTATTATTATTATTATTGTTGTTGCTGTTGTTGTTAGTAGTAGCAGTATCAGGAGGAGTTAGTGGAGAACCAGAGCTTGGTTCTTCAGAGACTTGACCTTCCTAGAACTTGGTCCTCAGCTGCTCTGACATGGAGGTAGAACAGCTGCCAGATGTGGCTACTGAGTCATAGTATGTTTGAAGACCTGCAGCATCATTTCACCGAGTCAGACCTCTGGTCCTACGTGTCTGTAAAAGGACAAAGTAGATCTGAAGACACTGGAACTTGAACTGTGAGGAATCAGATAGACTGTAGATAAACTGGAATTACAACCAAATAAATACAAGTTCAGCTGCAGATATT